AATAAAATCAGTAGAACGGAATGCAGAACACAATGTGCCCACAAGAACACATCTTTAACATAGTGAAGAGTCTTCAAACAGAAAATCAGAAGAAACAGGGCCTTACTGATCTTCTAAGAGCGTTTTAAGACTTCTTGATATCAACTTTTTCTCAGGTTTGTCCTTCAGAGCAAAGCTGAAGGTGATGTTGGTGTTGTAATAAAAGCTGTTATCATGTCATACAGAATGAACAATCATCATTGTTAGGTACACACTGCAGTTCAAGGTTTCATTTACCTTAACAAATCTCTAACCTTTAACAAATTTCCCCTCCAGGGATCAATAAAGTATTTATGATTCTGATTTACAAATGTTAATTAAGTCATCAATAAAGGGTGAAATGTTTCCCATTTTTAATAAGCCAGTAACAAATGTTAGTAAGTCGTATGCATTTATAAATGCTAACAAGTCATTGATAAATGGTTCTTATAATAATCTAAGGCTGCAGCTGTAAATGTCAATAAGTTGTTATAAAAATTATTTTAGGCCACATTGTTGTTTGGAGGGGTCGGCATAATGGTCTAAAAAGCCAAATAGTTGAGGATAAAGGATATTTTTTCCTATTAATGGTTTATATCTGCACTATGAAGCATTTGTAAATTATTAATAAAGCAATTGCATATAACTTATGGACCCTCTATGATGGGTGCATTATTAGAAAGTGGTACTACTATATCTTACACCTTAACATCATAGCATAGGACTTCACACACATTGAATCCTGCCATTTCTGACACTTCTGATGTGTGAAAACTGCTGTCATTGATATTGACATTGGGTCAGTGGCAGACAGTTACACATGAGGCTGTGAATCTCTCACTCATTCAGTGTATGAATGTCAGTTCTCAAGTTCACCCATAGACCCTTTTCACTGCAGCCATTATGGCATTAAATAGTAAGGTGAGGTATTACCAATGACACTAATTAAGGTTCTGTTACATTTAGTGTAGCAGAGCTTTTCCAGTGAGCAAACATACACAATAGCAGCACCCTGCTCTGTTTGCCCTGAGTGGAAAGGAACCTTAATTAGTATCACTGGTAACACCTGAGTTTACCCTACTATTTCATGTAAAAATAGCTGTGAAAAAGGTCTATTGCTTTCACTAAGGCTGCAATGGGCCAATAATATAGTCAAGAGCCTGATGATATTTCTGAAATGAATTTTTAGTCTGGTCAGGAAATATATAAATTATGCAATCAGACTCTGAATAGCCCCAACACATATGCACACACACACACACACACACACACACACACACCAGAACAATGTCCATTTTCCAAACTGAGGGACTGAAATTACTCCGAGTAATATATCTGCTGTTATATATTCTTTTCTCATCTCAAGCGGGTGTAGCAATCATATCTCCCTTTCTATTTTTGTTCATTTCCTCATCAGAAACTTTTAATTGAAATTGACTTGTCACATATATTGAGCTCAGTATTCTTCAGAATCATACTTTTTTTTAAAACTATTTTCCACATCTGTGGTGCTCAGCTTGTTTTTTTTACAGCTGAAATTGTAGAAGTTTCAGAAAACACCCTTTTCACACATACTTTTTTTTACTAGTTGTGGGCTGTTTTGCTTCGGCAACTGAGTCCAAATGTTATATATCTTTTGAAAGCAGTTTACCCCATAAAGTGACGAATTTGAGAACAACAGCATACAGTTTATGAGGACAGTTACTACTCCTTAATTAGCACCACGGACAGCTCCTCCTTTTCTTCCCTCACCTGTATTCTGAATTTAAGGCCACTCAAACTATTTATGATACTGTTGACTCTTTGATTTGTAAAACCTCTAATGTTTTGGTTGCCTAATGAGAAAATGTGTTGTTTTAAAAATATATATCTTTGGAGACTTCCAGCAGAAACATCAAAAAGACTCATGACCACTCATATGCCATAGCCACATGAGTCTTGTGTAGTCATGTGGATGTATTTGAACATACAGAAGGTATTTGTCATTCACCTTTAGGTCAGTAGTCCGGTGATTGTCATCTTATGATGATGCATTGTCTAAAGCAATTGCACATTATGAGGATATTATATGCTAATTGACAAGGTTATATAATGTTGTTTTTCACATGGGGATATGTCAGTGTAGTTGTCTGTTCTAATCCTACTTTCAGTTGATTTTATAAGAGATTGTGATCTCTGGTACCAACAATGAACAATTGAAAATGCAGGGAAATACTCTTCTAATCATTTTCTACTCTAAATAATTGCTATAATACAGTGTCTAAATTGTTTTAAATTTTTACACCACATGAACTGAAAATAACAAGCCAGTACTGGCCAGTACAATTGGTCATAGATGGTAACTTTTATTTTCAACATAAACATCTAGATGTATTTTAAATCCTTCTACACACTACCAGGAATTTATGGTAATTCTGGTGAAGAAATATGTTTTTTTTGGGGGGGGGGCTAATAGTTGTAAAATTTAAATACATAGAGTAAAAACACTGGAATTATCCCGTAAAAAATATTCAAAGTATTCAAAGTGTGTTTTTCAAAGAACATTTCTTCCTGCATGTTATAAATCCCTCAGAATCATAGGAAAGACACTGAAGACATGAGCTCAGTGTCCATATGATCACCTCAGCCCTGCGTGCTGGTCATCAGTTAAATTGACCTTTGTGATGTTCATGAAAAAACTTCAGACAAGCTGATTAAAAAGCTAGCAAGAGCGATGGTGTCAAACAGTTGAGCCTCATTTAGAGTTTGATGTAGCATGAAGGTATCTCACTGAGGTGCAAATTAACGATGCATTCATCTGAACTCACTGGAGTTTAAATAAATAATCTATGGCAGGAAAAAAGAGAGCAGACCATCAAAGTCTCTCAAAGACATTTGCTCCAGGGTGGAGTGTTTCCACAGAGGGTGAATATGCTTGCAGTCCCCCTGAGAATAACATTGTCAATGTTTTTTTCAGTGAATACAGATTGTGTTGTTTTTTTCCTGTGTCAGCGCATTAAGTTGAATTTCAATTGATAAAATTCTGTTTTTTTCTACATATAATCTTCAGTTTATACCAGCAGTTGTGCATACAGATAGACATTAGGTAAAAAAAAAACCTTCCACATAATGAGCAAGAGATGCATGTCGCTATACTTTTCTGGGGAGAGTGATTATTACAGAGTGTGGTACTGTCTCTTTTATTTACTTAAACACCAAAATAATCCATAAAGCAAGGTAATTGCTTTTGGGGTTAATGCATTATTTCTGGGGAGACTGCTAGAAAGCTATTATTAACTTTGTTATAAAACTTGGTTATACTGTACATTTTCCTCTTGTTGGGCATCCCAGATTGTCAAAAAGTCAATATATAAGTTGTTAAAGTCACTCTATGTCTTTGGTGACTTGTTATGACTGTTGTTTTACACTCGAATTCCTCAGTCATTCCTCTGTATCCAAGCTCAGCAGAAAGTATCGTCAGGCAGTGGTTCAGTGAAACAGACCCTCCTGTGAGTTTATGATAGCATGCCTTGACTGACCATGACTGTCTGGCACTACTAATGCACAAGCAGTGGGCACAACACAGGCACCATTCTCACCATTTACACCAAAACACATGTTCTTTCCTGTTTTCGCACCCTTTCTTTCACTCACAAACATGCAGAAATACACAACATCATCACCCATTTTGCCCTAGATTCTGTCTTTTATGACGTGCTGTGAGCAATGGTTGAAAGCGCAGACTTTGAGAGATGCAG